ATACTTAATATTGCTACAAGTGTTAAAAATAACAAGTAATGATAATGATTTTTGTTTAAATAGTTATAACTTTATTTTTTATATTCATAATAATATAATAACAAATTACAACTTCACATACATATCAAATTTATGATATTGCGACAAGAGCAACTTGGTCTTTTATATAAATTTATTAATGATAAAAAAGTCTCTAAAAACTTTAATAGAATTATAATATTTTAAGGAAACAAATTATTATTTATATAATTTAAAGAGATTTTATTATATTTTTTATAAAATATTTGGTACCAGGGTTTGGCCAATCTGATGTGATCCTGTCAAACACAATATTATTACTTGTCAAATTATAAATAAGAAATTAGTTATCTCTTTTCTCAATTAAAAAAAAAAAAACCAAAACTTCAGTTACATTGCATTGTCGGTGGGCAAATAAAACCTAAACTATTCAAAATTCCTAAGCTGGAGGTATGTTGGAGTACGTACCTATCCCCTATTGCTGTCAAGGGCTGAGCTAAAAATTTTATTAAAAGGACTAAAATGATAAAATATATATTATAATTGAAAGAAAGTTATACATATATATATATATATTATTGACATAATATAAATATCTCAATGTATGTGTTTATGTTCAATTTTATAAATATAAAATAAATATAAATAATACCTTTATTTTTTAAGTTTCACTTACTGATTTTTCATGACATAAAAATCATTATTTATAATGTCTATGATAAACTTTTTAGCAATTCCTTCCTAATATAAAATATCATTAAATTGATGAAAACTATATCCTTTTCTATATATAAGCATTGAATGATTTAAATTTATTTTCGATATCTAAAGTTCAATTCAATCTAAGAAATTCTATTATTTAACTTACTGAATTTATCATTTATTTTTTTAATTAATAATTATAATAAATAAATATATCAACACGGTAATGATGTTCAATTGTTACAAAATTTTTATGTTGATGAGATTGAATTATATCAAAATAAAAATTATTCATATAATAAATTTTAATTGATTGGTTATTACAAAATAAAGTAATTTTTTTAGAAGAATATCTTAATCATAAACTCTTAACTTTTGGATAGATAAATTTATGATAATTATCAAGCACACAACATTCAATCCATCTTAAAATTTTTGTTACAATGCTTGTCAAAATCAAATATAAAATGAAAACATGCAAAATCAAATGACACCAATGCCTTAAAAGCATGTGTAGTATTATCCTATTGTAAATAAATAAATTTTATGATAATTATATCTTCAAACTATTAAAACAGTTGCACTATACATATATAAAGAACTATATATATAATATATAATTAAAATGAAAATTACATGCATCTATTGTCTCAATGTTTTAATAATGTACCAACCAGGAATAAAAATATATAACCCCTAAATTTCACTAAGAAAAATTAAAAAGTTGAGGAGGGGAGGGATGATCACCTAATCCCCCTATCTCCATGCCTGTTTGCTGCCGACATATAACAAGTGTAATAAGATATGTATTTATTTCTCTTTTAAAAAAGTTATTTAGTGTTGTGCTATTAAATGATGAGTTTAAAGACTCTTTATAGTCTTTAATATAAGGCAAAGTTTGAAAGTGATACGAAAAAAAATTAGATTAATTAATTTTTTTTAATTTTACCATTGTTTATTTATTATGATTTAAATTATTAGACAACAATTTATTATGGTTATTAATAATAAAGAAGGATAAAATTGAAAAGTTACATTGTGTGTGTGTATATTTACAATTTTAAGGTTGCAACTCACATTTTTAATAAGTGTGAAGTTAATTAACTTTATCTTATATTAAAAAGCTAAGTGAGTATTCGTTCCCATTCTAGCCAATTAATAAAATCAAGAATGAATATATACATTTTCCAAAATAACTAGCCCAACAACTTTTTTGTGGCGCAAGATGTAATAGGCAAAAACATTTGATTTGTATCGTTGTTTTATTTTGATGTTACTTTATTTAGGTAGATACAAAAGAAATTGGAGAGTTGGATTGTTTAATTACTTTTTTGATTTTAATTTATAAGATACATTTAAATGAAATGACATATACTAATAAAACTTATTAAATACATTTCACAATTTAATTTTTTTAAGATAAAAATATAAATTTTTATAAATATCTTTTATCTAATATTTTAAAGAATAATAAAGAGAGAGAATATAATGAAAAAAGTAATATTTTAAAAAATATTATTAAATAAAATATTATTTTTGTTGAAGTATCTTATATATATTTTAGGACACTGATCTATCTAAAATGTCTTACAAAGTACTTTATTTTTAAAAAACTATGATTGATTTGTTTTAATGCCACCCACTCTCACTGCAATTACACTTTTTGTCTTTGAATGCAGTCTTACGCCAAATTTTAATCTTTTCAATTCGGCCGAAAAGCAGTCAAAGGCGTGCAAGCCAATCTCATGAAGTAATAATACAAATTCAATTTATTAACGTAATCTTGGTGAGAGTGTCCTGAGTTTTTTTTCTCTATAATTACACACACACATGTTAATCATTCTTACTGAAATCTTTACGTCCAGAAAGGTCTCAATATTGTTAATTTCTTTGCGGGATTTGGTTTAGGGCTAAGAATGACCCTTGAAATCTAAAACTAAATTCACATGAATTATGTTGATTGGGTTTGTTTTTGTTTTAAAGTTAACCCAAAAAAATGATTTTGATTTAAACTACCAGGGTTCATGGAGGAGTTCTTTTTAGAGAACTTTAAGCCAAAGATGAGGGGTACTGGAAGAAAATCTATTATCAAAATAAACTAAAAATCAACTTTCTTCCAACAATCTCCTCATTTTTAGCTTAAAATTCTCCCAACAACTTGTTAAGTTTAAGCAATTGGTTCTTGTTTACTCATACAATCATTTTTCAAGAAAAATATACTTTGATCATTCATCAACAGAATCAATAGATTGCGACCACCTTCATGATATCATCAAACACGACACTTTTGCACACATTTTCCTATGGTATTTGTGCTTCTCTATCTATGTCATTAAAGTAAAAAATGATTAAAGATCGATCTTATACTTTCATATATCAAAGACAACATTTTTTCAATTAAGAATTACAAAAATAAATTAATACTGGTGCTTCTCAAAAATACCAACCACATTTCTTAAGATTATTAGTATAAGTTTTCACATGATACTATAGTGCTCTCATTCATATGCATCAATAAAATTAAGAAGATCCAATTGTAATTGCGGTTTAAAGAGCCATAAGTTTCGAATGAAGGGTCTTTTAATGCATGGAATCGACACAAGTAGCCTTTACATAAAGCCTTAGATATATAGGGTAGGGTTAGCTTTAAATTTGCATGCATGCCTCCTCTCGTCCCTACGCCCTTTTCCATTTGTGTTTGTCTGTTTGTACTTTTAGCATTATTAACATAATTATATACATTATTTTCATATTTCAGAAATAATAACCTTATCTTAAATGCATGGACAGCACATACATATGTACATACAAAGATATATAATTTTTCATATGCATACACTTTCTATTGCGCTCATTTCTTCCTCCATGTCCCATATTAATTATTGCATTATAAGCTTTCAAATTAACGGAATTAAGAAGACCAAATTATAATTATATTTTTAACTTTTAAGAAACATAAATAGTAACGTTAAAATAATATAATTTATTTTTATAAATTAAAAGAAATTTATCCTTAAAAATTTTAGGGAGAATGACAAATAAGCGTCGAAAAATATCAAAAGACCTTTTATAATTGAAATTTAAGAAATTTAAAAGCCAACTGTCTTTATTTTATATTAATTTCCCTTACAAGGTATTCCATTGTCATTCTCTCAAGGTTTTAGTTAGGGAGAATGGTGGATTTAATAATAATTAGATCTTCGACAAAATTTTCTTAAACATATATTACAAAAAAGAATCTCAATTACAACTTATAACTTATTTTCATAATTTAAATATTTTATTTGAAATTAAATCTTTTTGAATCATGATTTCAGTAATTTGTTATGAAGTTCTGTGTAATGTCTAAAGACATTAAAATAAATGAAAAGAAAAAGGAGAGAGATCAGTAAAAGGAAAGCAGCATGATGGCATATAGTTTCAAAAGGGTACCTTGAGGGTCTTCGCATAAAGCCTTTTGAGTCTGAGATATTATAGGGTTAGCTTTATAGTTTGCATGCATGCCTCCTCTCTCGCCCCTACTCCTTTTTCCTTGTGTGTCTTGTTTGTTTAATTTGTAGCTTTACTGATATTATTATAAATTTCTTTTCACCATTAGACACTAAATATATATAAATATTTTTTTCAACTAAAATTTTAACATCAATCTGATCTAAAATATACTCTCTCTGTTAAAAAAATATATTATATTTTTTGAGGAGTTTGATATTAAAAAATATAAGATATTTTTAGTATTTTAATATATAATTATTAATTTCTTTCAAAAGTTTTTCTATTAAATAATCACTTTATATTTATTTTATAAATAAGAAAAGATAGTATTAGTTTAAAGATAAATAACTATTTTATTTTAAATAAAATTTAATTAAAAATGTTTTATATTTTTTAATAAAGGAAGTACTTGTCTCAAATATAAATAAAGTTTGCGCTGTTGTTGACTTCCTTCTTGTTGGTAAGGTGTTGAGTGTTTCATTTGAAAACACACTGCTCCATCACGCAATGAAAATGAAACATTGCATTTTAAATCTCTAACACAGTTTCCCCCCGGCGAGAGGGGGGGTTGTGGGGGGAGATCCTAATTGCAAGCATTAAAAACTGGATGCGATTTGTGACTGACTAAATGTCAGATAAGATAGTAGGCTAGTTTCCGGTTAAACCAATCCAACCGGCTAATCCGGTCTGATTCTTTAAACATGGTTAAAAATAGTGGGTGAATACAATTTGTGATTAACTGAATACCTTTGGTACAACAGGGTTTCCAAAAATTAAGTAAATGACAATTTTGTCATCCAAAAGATATCATAATTTAATTAAAAAACCAAAATTACTTTTGGTGATCTTTTTGTGCATGTCTTGTATGTAAATAGCACAATTATTATCTGATACAGAGAAATAGAAACAAGATGAAAGATCACCTACCACGCTACACCAAAATCAAATTTAACCCAAAAAAAAAAAAAGGATGATGGAGAAGAAGAAGATCAAGTACGTAGATAGATGAAACGAGAATGTGGATTTATATATGTGTGTGTGTATATATATATATATATATATACGAAGGGATTCAATGTCCCTAGCCAGCGATCTGATGAAGACTAGGATTGAAGCCGAGGCAGCCTAATGGTCCGAGCTGCTTGTAAGGCAACACCGTCTTCTTCTTCATCTCCTCCGATGCCGCCCGGTTCACTGTGTAGTGCAATTCATGCGCCGAAACCGGTCCTCTCCTTCTAGACGAGACCGAACCGAAGCTCTCCGTGGACCGGAAACTGCTGTTCCTCACTTCCTCCTCAACCTTCTTCGACAGGACTGTGTATTTCCTCAACGGGTCTTTTCCGGCGGCTCGTCCCTCCGACGCACTCCGGAACAGCAGAAAATCTTTTAGCCTCCATTTGCTGTACCCTTTCGTGAACGAAAGTGACGACAAGAACGAAGCGTGTGATGATTTTGTATTATTGCTTGTTGAGGAAGAAATTGCTTTAGCTGCCTGGGAGAAGTCCTGATCGGAGACGTCGTCCGCGTTCGAGTTTCTGAAAGGAGGCACGGATCTGCTAATTCCTTTACGTCCAGAACTCGTAGACGAACACGAGAACGAAGAAGCCCTTCCCGATCTCCCTCGCTTCTGTTGCTCCTCCTCTACTCGTTCTTCCACTTTTCTGCTTTTCACAAACGAGTCAAAATCAAAATCTCTCTGCTCCTGAACGATTTTCTTTCCCTTGGACCTGGTGGAGGAAGATGATTCGAGGCCTTGGGCAGACTTCAACGGGGGTGACGGCGGAGGCTTCAGAGGGCGGATTTTGCCGCCGTCGAAGAGTTCGTCGGCAGAAAGAGAAGTCCTCTGCAAATGGCCACTGAAATCGAACTCGAAATCTGTATTGTTACCGGCACCGGCGGCATCGGGGAAGGTGGGAGGTGTAGGGTTACGAAGGGAAGAGGAGGGGCTGGCGGGGGCGCTGAAAAAGAAGGTGGGGAAGAGGTGGGGGCTGGAAGGAGCGGTGGTGTAATTAGGGGAGGAGCAGTTGCTGTCGGAGATGAAGTCGGCCGGAGGGAGCGGTGGGGCCACCTGCAACTCCATGGGTGGTTGGGAAAATGAGGGAAGGTGAGACTTACAGAATATATAGAGGAGGAGGAAGAAGAAGAAGAAGAAGAAGACAAGGCCAGAGCGAAGGATAGAGTAGAGAGATGAGATAATTAAGAGCGTGAAGGTTGACTTGACCACTTCATTATATAAATTTACTTTACCACGTCACTTTTTATTTCATTTTTTTGGAAAAAAATGCTCTCTGCTGGCTGTTTGTTTTCTATTGGTGTTTGATCAGTTTTTTTTTTGGAAAAAAATTACCGGCATTTTTTAATTATTTTAAGTTGACACCTCACGGCATTATATTATTTGGAAAACATGCAGAGTTACAGTGCTGTAGGTCAATTAAAAGTGTTTTCATGAACTACGAATAGTAAAAGATCGACATGCCAAAAATAACAGAACATAATATTCCCTAACGTCTTGTGACTCGTCATTTAACATTTGAGAGCTTCGGAGTTTAAAGAATAAAAAGGAGTGGAGTGGAGTTTCATTGTCACGCAAGAAGTTACTTTAATTAATATTTCTTTTATATTTATTTACTTGTTTTAACGAGATTATGCCATGTATATAAAGGGAAACAACATTTTCAGTAACAAAGCTTTAAAGTTAAAGGTCAAATATAGAGCTGGGAGGTCCACAAGCCTAATATCTTTTGATATTTTTTAAAATTTATATTTTACATTATCACAATATATATCCAAACTCCAAAAATGACCAAAGATAAATGTTCAACAATTTCAATTTGCATAATACAAATACAAGCTCTAAGGAACTACTTAAAATGTTTAAAGTCTAAGAACTTGAAGAGGACATAAATGGCCTTTTGATCTTACAAGTCTGACGCGCCATTTAAACAAGCTAAAGAAGTGCCGAATCATCCTACATTCACAAAGCTGCGATGACGAAATTAGGGTTTGAAGGAGAGGAGATGATAGAAGGGAAGGAGACAAAAGTAGAAAAAGAGGAGAAACAAAGTCAAGTGCAAAAACCAATTGCTTAATTAACTGAGGATGATAGTTAGGTCTTAGAAGTTTTGAATTACTTACAGTTGGTCCCTAACAAAATTTTATAAAAAATAAATTATAAATATTAATTTAAATAGTTATAAATAAAAAATTTTGTTATAATTATAAGAATTACATTTAATATTTAAATACATATTTGTAATTGAAACTCATAAATTTGTAATTATGAATTGATATTTTTCACTTATTTTTTTAAAAAATTATTAAAAATCTAACTATCATTAATTAAATATTTTAAGATCTAATTGTCATTCTTCCTAATTAATTTTTCTCTCCTTCAAATAATCCATCGTTTGGTTTTTCTACTTTTCTTTGCTCCCATCAAAGAGAGAATAATTACAAGTAAATATCAATGCTTAATTAAAATAATTATATAGTCTATGTGATATAACTTTTGTAATTGGAGGGAGACAATAATTATATTTAGGGGTATAATTACGAGTAATTATTAAATTACACTGTGGGACGATGTAATGATGTGGAGACGAGAAGCATGAAAGTTCACCAACCCACAACATTCTAGATTGTGCCAAAAACTCAAAGATGGTGTCTGCCTCTATTCCCTCCTACTCATCCAATGTCATTTATGAGAGTACTTTCATTTTCTTGACCAATTATTACTAATTCATATAGGTATTATCATTTTTACACCAAATAATAGATAGGTATCATAATGTAGCTTTTATTAACTGTTAAACAATAATACCTCCATCTTAAATTATGAAATGCTTTTAAATAAAATTTCACATATTAATAAATTTATTAAATATATTTAAAAACATTATTATTTCAAAACAAATATATAAATATTTAAAAATATTCTTTATTTAATAATATGTAATCCACGGCTCTCTAAAATTAGAGAGGATCTAATTTCCTCAGTAATCTTAGCAAGGAACTTAGGTCCCCTCTAATCCCTTGCTAATTCAATGTTTCTAGCCAAGTCTTAGTGAGGAATGATGTCATCACTAAATTTAGTGAGAAATTAATGTCCTAACAATGTCCTCGCTAATTTATTTTAATGTTTAATTAATGGTGACGGATTAGCAGGGCCTTATTTTCCTAGCTATAAAAATTAGAGAGGCTTTGGTTCTTCATTATTTCCTCACAAATTTATTTAATAAGAGAGAAAAAATGTCCTTATTATTTCCTCACTAAATTATGCATTGGTTTTGTAAGAATCAAAATTTTAATTATAAATAAGTCCTATTCAATCAAGCAATTACTCACAATTGAAACTTTTATTGGCGAGTAATTCAATCCATCAACCAAAGCTGTATAAAAAATTTAAAATACACAATAGAATATAGCATAAGTGGTTCGATCCATTAACCACATATCAAAAAACATACAATATTATAACTAAAAAGTGCAGAGTAATAGACTCATACGACATTATTTACATAGCACAAATTTATGACTAAAAAGATATTTATCGCCACTAAGACAACACAAATCTACATGTGGAATGAGTATTTACTATTAGTAGTGCTTAAAAATAAATAATTTTTTTAATTTGGGTTTCTTTTACCAAAATTTTTTAATTTGGTTCTAAGAAATATTTTTCCCATATTTTAATGTACTCTTGATTCATGTGTTTTTTTTTTTTAAATTGAAACTTTTATCAAGAGAAGGAGACATACTTTTAGTGACTAAGTCATTATTTATTTTCCCTCGAGCCAACTTAATTTGTCTTATCTGTAAATTATCCCCCGTGACTCACATTATTTTCGCTATATAGAAATTGGAAAATTTGTGCCAACACCAATAATAATAATAATAATACTTCGATGCCTAAAATATTTTTCTATCCACGTAAATAAATAATTATAAGCGAGAAAGATCTGGGAAATGTCAATAACCTCTAATTAATACCCTATAAACTTTAAATAATAATCGCAGGTTTAATTTTAAATTTAGTTTACAGTATACTTTATGAAATTGGAACTTAATATTTAGTTTATGACATTTCCTTTTCCTTAAATACATCACTTACCTTTATCATACTATCTTATTTGACTTTGCTGGCGGCTAAAGGCTGGGATTTCATTTACAAACCACAATCAACTAACTAATCCACAAGAAAATTAATTATTCATCACAAAAACCACAAGCCAATTAAGAAGTGAAACTCATGTTTTGGCATTGAGAAGTATTTTTTTTTATACTGTTTGGTAAAATGAAAACAATTTAAGAATAAAAATAGAAGACTATCAAATGACCCTAAGATCTGAAGCACAGAAATATATCAAAATGAATTTTTAAATTAGTTTAATTTGTCAAAATATTTATCAAATTTCCAGTGATGAATAATTTAAAATAATAATATAATCATTTTTAATTATAAAACTTTAATTAAAAATAATTTTTTAACCTTGTTTTAAAGGCTTGATTTTTGAATGGAATAAGTTTATTTTAGATACAAGACTGAGCATTCCTCCACGAATGAAAAAAAAATTAACAGAAATCACCAAACAAACATGAGAGGTGAATTTTATCGTTCTCAATTCTACAATGCATGTTAAATTATGGTAGAGTTATAATCAGGTCATAAAATAATAAAATTAAGTATTTTTTCAATTTATTTACTAGTCAAACTTCTATACTTATATGTTAAAATTTAATATTTACAAGTGGAAGAGACTCATAAGTGATTAGTTTTCTTATTAAAAACTTGTATGTAATTGTCCTTTAAATTATTTTTATGTTCCCAGCCCCACCCCCAAAACCTTTTCATTTTGGTTAAATCGTCAAACCAAATTGGCTTAATTAATACTTTATTTTTGGGGCTATGAATAATACTTATATAGAAGAATCTACATTAGGTCCCTGGTCATTCACAATCATACACGTCCATAGAGATAATAACAGATAAAAAGAATGAGGCTATTGATTTGGTGATTACAAACACATTCCATCCAAATCCGTAGTAAGCAGCCAGACTTGGACTTCAATATTACACCCTGCAAACCCATGATAATAGTAATGGAAAAGCTCTTCGAGAATTGGAATTAAACACTCATTTCTCTCACTTTTGACACTTCTCTTATACACTGCTATTAGTAATGTACTGAAAAATCATACTTGTTATTGAATTCATCAACGCAATTGTTAATGGTCACTGGTTCAATTGTGATGGAATTGACATCAATGATTAAAATAATATTTTTTTTGTCCTAAATTATAAAATATTTTTTAAAAGATTTGACGTTCTAAAATATAAGACACTTTAATAATGTTAATATTTTATTAAATAGACTTATTTTAATACTATCCTTTCTCTCTCTAGATTTAATTTTTCATCCATTTTTCTTTTCAATATGTTAAATAAAAGGTATTTTTGAAAGTATATATTTTTATTTTTAAAAAATAAAATTATTAAGTATATTTAATGAAGTTTATTAATATGTAAAATTTTGTCTAAAATTGTGTTATAAGTTGGAAGAGTGAGTATAATTTAATTAAAATGTACAAAAATATTCATACATATAACCCTAAAAAGAGTAATATTTAAATAAAAAAGGCATTAACCTGCAAGTAAATATAATGGAGCATTTATTTATAAACTACATATAAACTAATAAGACACACTCTCTTCGGATCACAATATAAATTATATTCTAGAAGTCTACTTTTATAATATAGGGTATTGTGTAATTTTTATAATTACTTTTTCAACTATACCCCTACTTCATTTATTACTTTTTTAAAAAAAATAATACATTAAAATTTTAATTATCATTATCAAAACACTTATGTAAGGTATTTAATAAGGGTAAAATTAAAAAAAATATAAATTAAATTAACGTTTCAATTAACATTTTTCATAAACCATAAATTAATTATTAATGTCCTATATTTTGGCCTAAAGGGAGTAGTTACTAATTCATGAATGTGACATGCTATTATTTTTTAACTCAAAACAATGTCATTTTAAGCTCAACAAGGGGAAAAATTATAAAATCTCCAACTCGGTTGACTTGTTAAAAAAATCTTGACCAGATTGGTTCGGAGACTGATTTACTGATTTGACCATCTAACCTAGGTTGGGTTTTTTTTTTGGTACATAAGAGGGTAAAGCCTGACAAAAAATTAAATTAGTGGAGGGAATTGAGATCCCAAATACTCTAAATCCACAAGGCTCCTAAGATGATTAGGAACCGTATCAAGAAAGGAAGTATTTTGCAGCCCATCTTTAGTTAATCTATTAGCTACTCCATTTCATTCCTTGTAGACAAAATCCATAGAGACTTCCCACTCCTTTTGAAGCATTGAGCGTATCTGAAGCAGTAATAAGCTGTCCACTCTTTGATTTTCCAGCCTTCAATTCATTAACAACAGTCTTAGCATCAGATTCTAAGATGACTTTCTTAAATCTCATGTCCCAAGCCAACTGTAAACCTTTAAAAATTGCCCAGGTTTCAGCATCTAAAGCACTACATATTCCGAGCGTATATGTAAATCCCGCAATCCAAAAACCATAAGCATCCCTTAAACATCCACCACATCCAGTTCTATTGTCTAATGATGACCTGGCACCATCAACATTTAATTTCACCCACCCATATGGGGGCTTAACCCATTTCATCGGCACACAGGGGCGGTAGATCATTCCCTACTTCAACCCAGGTTGGGTTTTAGTACCATATGTCCATGACTGTTAAGATTCCACGGTATTGGGCCACCTCATCCATTTTATTAATCCTCGTACCTCTCCCTGGAGTCTGTTATTAGATGAACGTTGAAGTTCCATATCAAGCGATTAGAAAATTGGTCATAATGACAAGCCTTAGAATGATTAATTAAGGCGAAACTCTAACAAGCGTAACTAATGACCCACCCCTCAATGTCTTCCTGTTCAATTTATAAAGGACAAGCATTCAGAAAAGTTGTATGATTTTCACAGCATGAATACAACATCTATGCATGTTTTATCGTTCATCACTTTTCAAACAACCATCGGTATTAATTTTAACAAAACCTGTGGGAGCACACTAACACTGTGTGCTTCATTAATCATTATCCACAGCATGTCATTTTCGTGTAAGATTCACCACAACACCCCCACCCCCCTGTTACTACGCCAGCATTCCTTAACAGCCCACGCCGGGACTGGTGGACTCGTGTCAAAGGCAAAAGATATTTCGAGATTTTGAAATAAACCACATGAACATTAAGTGTCATCTTTTTTAGTATACTTTTTCCATATTCATATGATGTTCTTTCTATGGTAAAATCTTTGAAGTTGTTAATACGAACCCAGCCCTAAAAACCGATCCTTTCAGCCGTAGAAAATTGGAAGAAAAAAGGGCTTGTTTGGACAACCATGTAGCCACGGGTGTCCGGGGCAAACCTGAAAATATGATCCTTTTATGTGAAAACTAAAATGGCTTTTGGGCCTAGCTTTTATTCAACCTACTTAGAAGGGCCGACTCCTCTCTACTTGTCGTGTTAAAGAATCTTGAATTTTTGTTTTTTTTAAAAAAAATGAATCTTGAAATTGGAGGAGTTCAGATTCTCTGTTTTGCTTTACTTTTGTTCTTTTCTTATCGTTCATATTAGACTCTAGTATATACGAATTGCATTGCAGCATCCCACCAAAAAAAGAAAAAGGTACTCAGGACAATCTTGGTCACCTTGTGAGAAGATAGTGCTAGAATATCTTAGCACTTTGTTTGTTCCAACCTCAGTAACTATCTAATAAGGGTTGATGGTGATGGTGATGTTGATAAAGAATCCGAACTAAATAATATATGTTCAAGCACACCCCAAAATTTCAAACAAGATATCAATACAATCTTAAGAATCTCTCACGACAGTATTAACCAGCTACAAAATTCAGCATACTACAGCTCTAGTTAAAGGGCAATAAAATCCATCCTGCTTCAATTTTCACTGCTGCTTGGACTTGCAATTGCTACATCACCGTTTTAAAGCCCCTTCTACTTAAGTACAGCTTGCATTTTCAGGCCTGATTCTGTCTTACACCATAACCTTGCCCTCCATGGTGACCTCCATTGGAATCCGTCCTCCACTGTGAAATCTCCAGCCCAGTAAGTTAAACAAGAAATGGATTTATTGGACAAAAATTACAGCCTAAACTTTTTAACTTCATAGCAAAAAATGCAATTGGTGTGTTAATTCACATTTCTTGAAAGATATCTCCAATATAGAACCTGCAAATAGAGAAAGCTTGCAACAAAAAAGCAAACTGGGAGAAAGATAGACTGCTAATGATGCCTATCCTCTTTTTCATGAAAAATTGGAAATTGTACAACAGATTTGGCGCATAAAATATCAAACTGAACACGATAAGAGAGTGTCATTCATTATCAATAAGCCTAACTGAGTTCAAACATCTTACATGCTTATTTCCTGGACTGCGACCCCAAGAAAGACGCACTGTCTGCTTTCCTATTACTGTCCCATTCAATGCCTGAATTGCCTCCTCTGCATTCTTTCTGTAACAGACAGAAAAAGACAAAATTGAACGGCTAATTCACCAAAAATTAAAAAAGAATATATGTATGTATGTATGTATGTGTGTGTGTGTGTGTGTGTGTGTGTGTGTGTGTGTGTGTATGTATATAACACTAGTAATGATAGCACTATTCACAGCAGTTCTCAACCATACGATTCTAAATTATAACAGGCTGACACCCATTCACACCCATTCACATGCACAAGTGCACATTTTTAAGTTTAATCACTGGGAACTGGGGTTTAACTTATAAACCATGTTATGGCACACAACAGGAGTACCTGTTAGCAAATTGAACAAAACCACACCCCTTTCCAACGGGTATCTTCACGGAGACAACTTCACCATATTGCAAAAACGGTTGTCTGAGATCTTCATCACTGACGTCTGAATCAAGCCCTCCAACAAATATCTATGTAACAAATAGATTAGTTACTGATGTGTACCAAGAGCAAGGCAATGACAATTACAACAAGAAGGAGAAACCTTATCCCACTAGGTGAGGAAGGGGTTATTACATTTTTTTTTTTTTTTTGGGGGGGGGGGGGGAGGCTTACTCACAGTTGTGTTAAAAGAGTCCCCTTCAGACTGGGAACCTTGGGCCATAGCACCATTAGAAGAATATCCATTAGCCAACACCACAGCTGATAAAAGAATATCAAAATCAAATTTGAAATCTTAAAGAAAATTTTGGCGCTGTAAACAACACATCCAGCAATTAAAAATATAAAAATAATGAACTAAAGAAGGAATTTAAAGCCTATTTACTAAATAAATTCTGAGGACATTCTTGATTGTGACTAGTTCCTAGACCTAAATTTGAAGTGTATGAGAAACAGTAATTATGATTCGGACATGGGAATAAACGTTTTCCAGAATAGAAACACAACCATAAAAGGGGGGATCTCAACAAAAATATAGGCGTATTTGATCTCAACAAAAATATAGGCGTATTAAAATATGAGACATTTACTACGACCATAAATCAATGAGCCACAATCGTTAGCATATCCAACTTAGCCTCTTATGTCACACTAATTAAATAGTCAATAATTTAAACTATTTGAGTCATCATAACTCCAAGGTCCTAGCATTAGTAGAGCTAATTCAACTGATACATATATTAGTATTTGATTAGCTTAGTGAAGAATATGCACAATACCAGCAAAATTAGGATGAAAAGGTATAGAAAGGATAAAAAAAACCAATAGAAGACCATGTGACATAATTCATTCTAAGAATAAAATTAGCATAAAGGAGGTTATGATTACAAATGCAGGAGCGAAGCTTGTTAGTATCAGTTGCACTACAGAAATATAAATACTTAACAGGGTACAGTTCACTAAATTTACAATAAGTGCATCTTGACAAACCTTGTGAAGAGTAATGTTGTTGGTGTCCGTATGATTTCTTTGGAGTTGCAATACTTATTCGCATTGGCCTACTTGAACAATATTGACCATTCATTTCAGCCAGCGCCCTGGATCTTTCATTTTCATCAGCAAACCTAACAAAGCCATAACCTTTTGAACGGCCAGTGCTAGAATCAATGACAACTTTTGCTCCCTTAACAGATGAATATCTGCTTGCAAAGGTTTCCTGTAGCATAGCATCGGTAACATCTACAGCCAAGTCCCCAACAAATATAGAGTAATCTGAATTAGCATCAGATCGCCTATCGCCTGAACTGAAAGCAGCCCAATTAAGGCGAAATGGCTGGTCTGTATTTGGCATCATAGTGCCATTGTAGCTCTGTAAAACTTTCTCAGCTGTTGCACGTGTACAAAACTCAACAAATCCATATCCTTCAGACTGACCAGTTTGCTTATTTCGTATAACCTTCACTGAATATACCTGTACAGACACAAGTTTTGCATAATTACAGCTGCTGAAACACATTGTTCTCAGACTCAAATCAACAGAAAACAGAAGCACTATGCTAACATCACAGAAGCATTCTGAAATTAAAACAGAACTCTAAGTAGTTGGAAATTTTAAAAACATAACGGGGCTGTCTTTATATAAGCAAAATGAGTCATACAGACTAAGCAAAATTCAAACACAATGCTAGCTTAGCGCATGATAGTGCCACAGACTTGTGTCTAAACCAACAGAAGCATATTAGGGGAAAACCATTTAGCAAAGTCTCATCATGAATCAGCCAGCATATCTTCCTAATATCCCCAAATCAACACTTCTACTAAAAAAGTAAGAGTTACCCAATGAGCTTCAGAGCACATAACCTGCCCGTCTCCCACAGTTGAAAACTGAGTAGATCTTAACTATGCAAACAGGTCCAATAAACTTAAAACAATTCCATCCAAAAACTTGGGAAAATATTCCTAAGTTATCATACATAACATCATTAAGACTGAGGTCTGATTGAATGCAGTCAGTACTGTCTTCTTAGGGTAGCAACAACAACATGGAGTGTGATCAATTAAAAGGATAGGGGGCCAAGTCTCACCAGGCTTGATTCGCGTATGCATACTTTGAGCTCAAGCTTACTAAGGTCAAAACACATGCTCAAGAATAGATTGTCTAATGCTCGTGAATTTACTCACCCTGCGATTGATACATTAATCAACAGCTCGTTCATTTAAGTTGTGAAGATTGAAGAAAACCCATGCCAGAACTTAATTTTTCAATGAACTAAACTTCAGCTCAGATCACCAGATGATTGCTGATGATAGGACTGAGAACCAGGTCAATTAATGCATTCCTCTTTATAAGACAGATAGAAAGGGAATGTCACTTCAAGTTATGTAAGACTCACTATGAGAGTCCAATAATAACAAAGAACCAGGGAACTCATAGAAAGCTCAGTTGACTGTGCAAACATGGGATTGACTTTCTACAAAAAAGAAAGCCTCTGTCAGTGGTTCTTTGTTTTAAATTTAATACAGCAGGGAAAGCAGTGGGTTCCATAACGATAGAAAACTATCCTGTAACGCAACATGTCAAAACTCAAGGCTACAGACTAAAATTCTTAAATTATCCCGAATGGTTTGCTTCCTTAATTATAAGATCCAATTTTTATGAAATATAATACTAAGAACACGCTAGCACAACAAGATACCACTCAAAACATATATTTCGCACTTGGCAATACTCCAGTCGCATTCCTTCATTTCTCTAAGTTATAAATACCTGACATATGTATTCTAAGAATATTAAACAAAGAGCAAATCAATTGTATTCAAACCCAACCTTCCATAAATTTCAATGAAGAATAAAATACAACTAGCGCAAAAAGCGACATATAGAGCAAGAGGGAGAGGTTGGCCAAGAGAAAAAATTAGAGCAAGAGAGAGAGAGATGGTGACACCTCGCCTGTGTGAGCAAAGCAGCTATTTAGGTAGTTCTCGTCCATCCAGTGATGCAAGTCACCGAGCCAGATCGTCCTGATCTCATCGTTGGAGCTCTGCTGGTGGTGCTGCGGCTGTGACGGCGGCTGTTTCAAGTGCGGGTGGTGGTATGGCGGCTGATAATATTGGTGAACGTAAGGGACATAATGCGGCGGATACATCATCATCTGTTGCTGCATCATCGCCATAGCCGAAGCCGGATATTGCATGGTCATCCATTGTTGGTGATACTGATGCGGCTGCGCCCATTGCTGCGGCTGCGGCTGCTGCTGCTGCGGATTCAGATCGGCGGCGTCGGGAGTTGGCTGAGCCATGAGTTTCAAGTTTTGTGTCTGCTTAGGTGCTTTCTCTGTCCACAACTCTTCGTCTATGTCGCTCTCTCTTCACCTTCCCGTCTCCAACAATGGAAGTTGCTGACAGCGAGATGAGAGAGAAGGAAGGAAGAGAGAGAAGGAGTGAGAGAGAGGGGAGGGATTGTGTGTTGTTGTGTTGGGTTTGGGTTTGCAAGAGACACAAAACACTACTATTACTGTGTTACAGGTTGGATCTCGCTCGGTTACGCCTCGGTTATAACGTCGGTATGCCGTCTCTTATCTCGTGGCCTTCTATGTGGGATCCATCTTGCCAAATCGACGGCTCTCATGCGTTTCTCTCTGCTTCTCCACCGCTTCCGTTGTTATCCTCCCGTTATCTCTATTCTTTTCAAATCTTGCCTTATTGATATTAGTTTTTTATTCCTTAAACTTAATTTCATAATCAACTATACTAATTTTTAAAAGATTTCAGTCAGATTATTAAATTAATCAATTTTTTGTGTTGAATATACATACATACAAACATATATATATATATATATATATCCACCAAAATAAACCTTTAATTTAATTTTCTATGATCCTACTCTCTTTAAAGTTTAAATTAAACTCATAATTTTCGGATTTGAATATAAAAAATAGAATTTTGAATGAAAAAGTTAGATATAAATATCCTCATCTTTAATTTTATTAAGTTAAAAATCATATAATATAATATATATATATATTATTTCAAAAAACTAAAAATTGTAATTCATTTTAAATTATTATATCTGATTAAATTCAGAAGCTTAAATTTCATCTTATAATAAATTTAATTTTTTTTGTTATACTAATATTTATCAGGTACATGCTAAAACATTATTATAATATCCAGAATAATTTTAAAATATTGAACACAAATTAAGACTAAGATACCATGTGAAAAGGTAAATAAAGAAGCTAACTGCGCGCAAATGTCGAATATCTAACTCAGACATTTTAGCTTTTATTTTTTTATTTTTCAATTGATTGTTTTTCTTGATAATCATTATATCATAATTAAAATCCATGATTTTTTTTTTTGAATTCATGTTATTAGGATAGAGAAAATCCTCAAATTTAGGCATTAGCCATAAAAATTTTAAGTCGAATGAATGATATAAAGATAATCAAAACAAATATATAATTATATGAGAAAACTTATATACTTAAGCTATATGTATCCAATTAAATTAAGACATGTGAATCTTTTATAAATTATTTATTATATAATAAATTTTTTTTATTGGTTAAAATATATTAAGATTCATATGTCATGATTTAATTTGATATAAGTATATTAAGTACATAAGTCTTGCCCATAATTACATTTATATGATAAAATGAAAAATAGAAAATAATCAAATATTTTAATCAAAATTTTTCCTTTAGGATGAGTACAAAATTTTTCCTTTAGCATGAGTACCCTATTCCTTTTCTTTTAATAAATCATTATTTTTTTTTAAAAAAAAAAGATCTCTTCGGTAGAACTTATAATCTCTTCAAAATTAGTGGGGAATTGCGCAGTCGGGGGAAAAGACAATTAACCAGTCATTATTATATTTATAATCTTATAACTCAACCAAAAAAATGATAGCCATAGTAAATCATAGTGATATATTGCATAAAAACCGAATGTCTTCATTTATTAGGAGATGTTGTAAGTGACCCTAAGTTATAAAGAAGACATTAATTCCATAAGGACCTATTGATTCTTGCATTGCCTTATTATTATTAATTATTAATTATATTTGCATGAACAAACTCCATTATCTTCGAATGTCTAAGAGAGAGAAAATAAAGAGAACAATAAAAATAAAGAACGAAATTCGTTGAAAGTTGCTCTGTTTGTGTTCGTTGTGGAGGAAATGCAGTCTAATTCATGAATTTAATTGCATTACTTTGGCAATAATTAATAACACATCTTCAATTTATAGAACCAATTTTGGGTGTGTTCAGTACATTGTTTTATTGTTATGATATAAACCGTCAAAGCATTAAAGTAATACATTATGGTATTTAAGGCATGTTTAATAGCAGTACATGAGTGCCATTCAAATTTTTTGTTGTTGTGTCTCTTTGCATGCTATATGTCATTAAACATATAAAAAAAATCCTTCATTAAAATTTAGAGAAGAAAATCTAAAACACTTGTATATCCATGATTCCTAATTTTTGTTATGACCATTTAACTGTGTTAGATTCAAGCATTATCAAGTTTAATTAAAGGTGGTTTTCTCAAATACATTTTTTGTATTTACATAGACTTGAACTTAAGAGTTCATGCTTAAACAATCATAACACTTGTTATTAGGGCATGACCTGATGTTAAATTTAATAAATTTTGAGGATTTTGGAATAACTGTTAGAAAAGCAGGGTTAGGGAAAGTTGAATACAAATGGGCATATGCAAAACATGTTGATGTTGCAATGTGAATGTGAAGACAAGAATGGCTTTTAGGTGTTTACCATAATAGTAGAATTGATCATAATAATGAAGATAATAAATGCATGCATGTTCTGGTCAACGTTGTACCAATTGAATTGTAGTTGTCTTTATTCTCTCACGTGGAAAATTTGACTTTCTTCATGACACCGCCAAAACTAAAATAAAATGAGACTCTAATTGTTAATTTTGACTTAATTGTATTCCCTTACACCAATTAGATGAATATTCTTTCTTCTGATATACTTTGTAGCCAAAAATAAAACTTCTAGTATGTTGTTCTATTTGTCATTGAATAGTTTAGTGAGATTATCCTCCATGTTCCTTTAGGAAAAATTATGGGACGATCATATCGAAAAAATAATAATAATAACAATCATATAAAAGGCCCGAGAAAACTTCACAGAAATAGTCGACTTCTTTTACCCAAGTTCAAAGATCAGACCACAGCTTATGCCTCCAAATTTAGAAGAATTACAACCCATACCCAGCTTTGATTCAATTACCATGACTATTACTATTTTATTAATTGAACTATTAATTTGCAATTTTTAATGGTCACTTAACGCGCTTTGCAAGTTTATTCATATAAAGTTACACGCTTAAAATGATTAGCGCGATAGCAGGCCATAAAATATGTTCCCAAAAATAACCCCCATTAGATATACAGAAACGCAACCACTTAATCTCCCTTAATATTAAGTATTTTCATGTCCACCCGTTCATGTTTCCCCTAACTAGTATATTCATTTGGAGTTCTTTCTTCAATACTATGTACTAATTAAAGGAAAAATTGACTCTAGAAATTCTGCAGCTTGAGATAACTTCTCTTTTGATGTTTCAACGGCTAGTATTCAATAATCAAAACTAAGAGAGACAGAAGGGGCCTATACAGAATGAATTAAATTGGATTAGGGAAGTAGAATGGGATTTGCAACTGGCAACCAAAAAAAAAAAAAAATGCAAGAGCCTTGGCCAAAATTTCAAACAGGGTGACTATCCATCCTGTTGGCTCTTGGAGCAACTTGTGACTAAAGGTTTCAAAGATGAAGGCAATTAGGCAAACAGAACCAGATGAGCTATGTACAGTCCTAGCAGCTTGCCACATTCTGCATGGAGGAAGCTTACTTGCTATAATCTGCAAGGAGGAAGTTCTCATATGGCGTCCCGATGAGTGTGTTCCTCACATCGTTCCAATTTTCGACCTGACCTGATAATGGTCCTTTATGGATCTTCACCTGACGGCTCGTCAAATCTCTTCGGGGAACCTTCAGAAAATCTTGAACATCCATTAATTTCTGAAACCATAAAAAGAGAAAGAAAGAAAGGATTGTTAATGGCTGACAGGATAGTTGAAAATATTAATTGGTTTGATCTTTTTTGTGTGATATGTAGTACGACTTACAGTGTTGTTTTTGACAACATCTTCATAGTATATGATAATATGCCTGGTGCTCTTGAAATATTCCAAAGCCTTTGTGGCGGTTCCATTCACTTGGTTTATATTGGATATCAGCACTGTCGTGTTGATTACGGGCTTGTATCGCGCAAGTATCTCTGCCTGAAAACCACTGTCAGAAATCATTAACATGACAGAACAACTATTTTGGGTAGGACAACACATCAGCTGACTTAACAGAGGTTGCATCTAAGCAAGATCTTCATGGACATGCACAGCATCAGATGTTCCATTTCACATACGGAACACGAAAGAAAATATTTCAACATGAGCATCCATGGGAGGAAGAGAGAGAAAGACCTCATGGGGTGAATGAACGTGAGACTTGTGAGTTCCATTTAACAACTTAGCATCCCTATCATATTGATTTGCAAGTACAGAAACCATTCGACGTAGAAGATTCCTTCGGAAAAGAAATATGACTGAAACACCATGTGTTCTGAAGTAATGCACTATCTGTTCATGATGCTGCATCAATCCCTGTGAAGATTATAGAAGTATGATATCCCAGATTTATTACTTATTACACTCTCGAATCAAGCATACATAGAGCAGAAGTTAATACCATCATATCAGACATTTGAGCTATACCAGCTTTTCCGTGAGTACAAATATATATACATGGGCAGGGCAAATACAAAGGTCAACTGATATAAAATTGAGATCTGACTTAAAATAGCATGAAATGCAAGCAAAATAAAAATAAGTGCATCAATGTTAAATTAAAAAATAAGCCTTGCCCACCATTTGCCAAGTCCTTGGAGGATTATGATTTAAATATGATTAACAATTATATATCATTACAAGATGAGAACAAATATAATAACATTTTTTTCACTAAAATGAATTAAAAAAATCGGATGATATCCAGTTTCATCAATTTGAATATTAAGCTTTCTTTGTAATCAACTTGCAGGGGCAAAAAACTTATTTAAGTTCTAACGCTTTGAGATCTTCAGCTTTTTACTGAGCTCAGACAAAAGCGTGGACACACACAGCGACCCTACAAGATTAGGAAATCTGAAGTGTCCATGTACAATTAGAACCGCCATAAAATGTTTAATACAAATAGAGAGATTCTTAGATAAATCTGATTTATCAAAGATTGATGAATCAAACTAATCTGATGGACGTCTATGAATGTTAAAGACAGGCTTCAATGAAGATTGCACCTAATAATGCTTCTATGCCGTTTTTCATAGAAAGTCAACTTCCATGTTAACCCTCTATGTGATGATTTAAATCATTTAGCATTAATTTTCATTGGCCATA